TAAAAAAATAAAAAATGTCAAATAGTTAAAAAACTAATTTTTAATATATTTATCAACAAAATAAGATAAATTTGTTAGTATTTTCTTTTATTATATTATAATTTTTATTATTAGTCCATTTGATACAATTACATAGAATATATTTTTTACAATAAATAAGATAAATAGTTTCTTTGATAATTAAAAAATATTTATAAACATTCCTAAAAAAATAGTTATGATGGAAAAAAACATATTGAATATGAATTATGATAAGCATATTTTTAGCCTATATTTAGAATTATGATTTCAATAATTTTTTTTTCATAAAACGCATTTTAAAGAGTTAAATAACATTTGGTCCAAAAATCATTTAAAAAAACTACCGCATCCTACCTCGTATTTTCTAGATTATTTAATATTGCATACGTTACAATATGTTCCTGTTCTATAGGGAAGAAATTATGTATAATTGGCATATCCATTTCTTTAGGGTGTATACGCGAGTCGTAATTAGTTTAAAATAGTCAATATATTACTTAAACAAACCACATATATCTAATATTTTATCTTTACGATATAAATTTAATAACATAAGAAAATAAATTATTTATTTTGTGAATACAAAAAAGAATATATTGATAATTGAGGTTAAGATACTCAATCCACAAATAAACTGCGTGTAACTATATATAGAGAGATAAAGATAGATAGATAAAAATACTAAATTGAAGGTAAGAGAGAATTGTAAAAAGTATTTCATGAAAAACTCATGGAACAAGTAACAACGAATCTACCACTTTAACATTATTTCACTATCCCATTAAAAGAAAAAGAAAGTTCTATTGCATAAACTTCCCAGAAAAGTTGCTAAGATGGATGACATAACATTGAAACATCTCACCAATTTATTTAGGGTTGAGGGGGTCAGAAACACGATTATGGACAAAAATATAATATATAAATACATTAGATAGTGCTCTTAGGTAGTCAAAACTTAGAATTTAAATATGAATTAAAAGTCTATAAAAATAAGACTGACATGTATTAAAGTCTTAATGTTTTATGTTATAGGTGATTAATTATAATAATAGACAAACATTAAGTTTTAACATTTTATGATAAAAGTAATGACAGATCTTTTATATAAAGAATTCATATTTTAGAGTTAAACAATCTATAATATATTCTGGTAAAAATATTCTGACAAATCCTGCTATTACATAATATCTATAAACATACTGTATAATGATATTTTGACAATATTTTAACATCATTTACGTGTCATTTTGTGATTGATTCAAAATTACTCAACAATCAATAATAATAATCATAAACACCAATATTGATCAATCACAGAATCACACGTAGATAATATTAAAATGTTGTAAAAAAAAAATATTATCAAAAAATGTTCCATAAAGTAAAAATCAAACCAGAGTAATACAAATACATATATACCTCGCCTCACTATAAACTTCTACTCCATATGTATCTCAATAAGGAAGCCAGCTTACTAGTCCAACTGTGTAATTTCTTCATCCTATAACTGGTCATATAATAAATACTATAATTACATTAGTATGAAAAACTATTAAGTACTTCTACACTTTACCTAGAAACTCTTCCCAATGTTAGTTTCAAATCTTGCTTTCTTTGCATCCATTGCATAGCGAATGTAAGAGTCGTCAGCTGCAACAATTAGCTGTGTGGAGCTTTCCCTATTATAACTCAAATGGACATTATCATAATTTATGTAAGGAGCATTTAAGCAATCCGCACACTATAATAAAATGTGATTTATCTATTAATATCTACGTATGAATTTAAATTCGCATGTATTATATGTAATAGTACTTACGTATTGATTTTATATACAGATTTATAAAGGATTAATTATTTAAAATAAAAATGAAAAGTTATTTGCACGCAACCTTATTCGAAAATTTCCTCAAGCCACTCGAAAATCACTCACTCACACCCATGCTTCTTTCTTCTTCGTTCTTTCTTGTAGCAGCAAAGAAACCCTTGCCTACTTTCAGAACTCTTTCCGAGCTCCAGACGATAAAATCCCTGACCTTCCTCACTCTCACTCACTTTCGCAACTGTCCTCCCTGCTCCCTGACTCTCGCTCACTGTCGCAACGGCTTCCCGGCACTCTCGCTCGCAACTGCTTCTCCTCTCTTTCACTCGAAACTGCCTCCCCTCTCTCGCTCACTCTCACTATGCAACTACAACATTGTTTCATTTTTTTTTCCTTCCAGTGCCCTAACCTGCCATGGGTGTTCAATCGGAGCTCCATGGTTTCAGTTATCTTCTTCCTTATAGTGCCTTAACCTGCAATGGGTGTTCAATCGGAGCTCCTGGGTTTCAGTTTTCTTCTTCCTTACAGTGCCCTATCCTCTAATTTTCTGCTGTGAAACCTCCGGCATTTGTCCAACATTATGCCAGGGAAATTAGAATTAACGATTAAGATGCTGCAAGCGTGTTTAATTTTAATGAAATCTACTAATATTAATTTATTCTTGGTTGTAGAGCAGGATTCTAGTGCTTCTGGGAAAGGTGTGTCAGCCATGTCCAAGGATTAAAAAAAGCAGGTGTGTAGGAAGAGTAGCAATTTTGTCTGTTTTAATTTGCAATATTTCATACCATGAAATAGATATGAAAGGCTATTTTCAATTTTTTAATATCTCTGCCCCTTTTTATAGATGTAGATTTGTGCTAGAGTTTTGATGCCTCCTTCTCACCCTTCAAATATCATTTTGTCAAGGTTTGGGTCATCTTTTTGACAAAATTCATCGAGCAACACATCAAATAGCAGAAGCAGCTCAAAATTCAAAGTAAGAGGACCCTCGAGATCAAGGACAGACAATGGAAGTTGTTTAAGTTCCAACTCTTATTCTCACAAGCCGTGAATGGAGAGAACACCAAAAAAGAAAAAAGAAAAAGAAGCAGGTTTATTACCTATGCCTAGTCTTGGGTTTTATTAACCTTGGTCATTTATAGCAAATTATCCTCTTGTTACTGATTTTACTAACCAATACCAGTCAATAATATTTAGATTACCCTATTAGCTAATGGCTATTTATTTATTTTTCCAAAGGGTTCTTCAGAACTTGTTTGAAAACATTATGGCCTCTATCAAGTTTCAATATTTTGTTTCATCACTTGAGAGAAACTAAAATTTGTATTACTTCTCTAAATCCTAATACACCATACTACCCTATTTATAAGGGATAGTAGTTCAGCATACAGGGAATATAAGGAAGCTCCTAAAAACCTACTAGAAATACATTACAGTTCAACATCATCAAACCTGTTTGATGAGTCTTCAGTCTCACAAACAGAAGTTGAGGAATAGTAACAGCTTCCAAATGTGATTATTGAATTGCTAAAGTCCGTATTCCCATTGCCTGCATTGTTGAATGAGTTTACAATACTCTGGCTTCCTGTAAGACATCAAACATAAAACCATTAGTTGGAAAATGCCTTCAACATGTACAGGAACTTCAACAAAATTTCTCAGTTGGCAGATACCCACGTGCAGTTCCTATTTTATAGGAATGTGGGTATAATATGAGATATACTGAACTATTACTGGAGGTTAGTTTCATTTTCTATTTCCACCTTTAAGGTTTCATTCCAATTGTAGTATTTCCGTAGCAATCTACCCTACGACATGTCTAAAAGTTCTGTTGAATCAGTAAAAAAATATTATTGATTGGTATTTGTTTTAATATATAATTTGGGGCATAAAATTTGCTGTAAATTGGTCATTTTATTAACCAATTTGGGGCATAAAATTTTCATTTTGTCGATATATCTGCTATGTCCCTTTGATTAAAAACATTTTCTCTGCCTTAGTTATGAACTTCCAGCAGAAAACCACTCCTAATTCTAGCAACAGGGTGGTCTTCTCTAGCCACGTGCCTTCCTAGTCTTAAGCCTATAAAATACCTATTATATTATACCTTACACTTGTTGTTCAGTGACCTCCATTTGTACCTCCTCATGTGTTCTTATACCTATTTTATTTATATTTGCTATATTAGGGTTTAGAGAAGAGAGTAATAAAATTTTTAGTTTATCTCCCAACTCGTTAAAGTGATGTATTATTGCTGTGGCCCCTTCCATCAACATTCAATATTTTCATGTACGGCTCATCTATGATATTGGGATTATTACCACATTGTTTGGGTTGTCTCTGATAAAAGATCTTTGAAACAACTAATTCTCCATCTTTCTCTTTTTTAGTGCTGCCAAGATGATACTGATGCATCACCCAATTAGTCTTCTCAGGCTTTTTTTTCCTGCCATAGTAGGTGTAGAGTACTAGTATTTTTTTAAAACCCTTCACAGCACCACCAGCTGAAAAAACAGCTCTAGTTTTTCCCGTTTTGTGCCATCTTGTTTCAATTCCTTCTTCATCGGTGTAAACCTTTCTTCTTTCCCTTCCTTCATCCGTGTGAACCTTTCTTCTTTCCCTTGCTCGTGTTATGTATGCTTTTGATGGCCTGTGAAAGAAGTGGCGGAACTGGCCATCTTTGCCCACTCCTGCATTTTTTCATTCAATAACTTCTAATCTCTCCCATTCTAAATAAACATTTGGTCATATAAACTAGATTTTTATATATGCGTTACATGGCAACTTATATATTATTTTCTGGACAAAACGATTAATACAACACATATACGGTGAAAGAATGTTGTTCTCTAAACGACAAATACGAACAGTCAATTTTCTGATGCATTCATAATTTAATAGATGTGTGCACTAATTGAAAATAATCATTCGTATTCTCAGCAATTGAGATCAGTCACTTTTATCTTACGTTACTTGCTCAAAGGAGCAGCTAGATTAATAATGAAAGACAGTAATAGTGTCTCTCAATATATGAGAATTTCACTGATGCATACACAACATATATTCAATAGGTATTTTAAAACACTACTATACTTTACTACTAATTAGAGAAAAAATAATATTAATTAAAAATAAAATAAAGCAAAACACGGAGCACCTGGTAGTTTTTCTGGGTGCGTAGACCAAATCCCATTCTCGCCTTCAATAGTTGGTATGAACTCATCAATAAGGGGATGAAGCTTGCCAGCATCAGACCCCACTTTAGCCTCTAAATACTCTAGTATTTCTTGGTCACTTGGGTCAAATTTCACTCCAGCAGGTAACATCGGCCAGTCATGAATTCCACCCTAAATACAAAAGAAATTAAAGGCGGTGCTTAAAAAACAACTTTAAAAGATGAAAGCAGAATCATATATAGGTTAAGGAAACAAACGTATTTAAAGATTAGAAATAGAAACATTGAAGTATATGGTAATACCTGATATTTGAATTCCATGTTAAGGTCCCAGGAGGGGCATGTTACAGTTCGAATTTCTTCGGTGAGTTTTGTGTCAGTGACACCAGTCCTTTGAGTAATAGTTATAGTTGGCGTGATTTATTCAATCCCCTTCTCCTCATAGTCATTACACGCCTTTTAATTTTCTTCGAAACCCTCCTACAATATGAGCTCCCTACAAAAACGAGATGAAAAAGGGTTAAGAAAGGTAAAGCTAGTTGATTCTGAATCAACTTGAAAGAGAGAATTTAATCTTCCAGATTTGCTTCTTCTGTATGTAGTCTGTACGATTCAATTATTGAACTGAGTTTGATTTCCCTAACTGGTTGGCTCAAAGAGAAAGAGGATATAGAGATTATAAAAGGGGCAGAAATATAGGGCGGGTCTAAATATTGAGAAAGGTTGCTTGCTTGGAGATCACGTTTGACTACGCTCTCCTGTATACGCTTGTATCAAGAAAGAAGCGCCGTCGAGTTAAGAACACTTTTTAGAGCTGTAAGTTTCAAAATAACTAAGTGCACTTTACCTAATTAAGCAATTTTAAAAGGGTATCTCATTAGACATGAAAACTAAAACCTTACAAACAAAATGAAGCGTAAGCCCTTTTTATTTTTTTCTGCCATTTATAAAATAAAATTTGTAAGTTAAACTTAGTTTATATATAAATAAGAAAACTTTTCATATCTTTATTTTTTTTTAAATAATTTAATTATTTTTAGTCTTGGTCAAAATATGTGATTATATGTTACAACAATCAAATATTTGTTGAAAATATTAAATTATTTAAAAATAATTTGAAGATATTAAATTATCAGAAAAAGAATAGAGAAATGACAAAAACAAAGTTTAGTCCAAGTTTTATATATGAAGGTTTGGAAAAACACCTTAGAGAGGATTTATGAACCTTTTCGGAAGCTTAATTTTTTTTTCTTATTTTTATGTTATTCATTTTTTTCTTATTTTTATGTTATTTTTACATTTAATAGAATATTAAATCTTTCGAATTGAGTGTTAAATCTTAAAAATTTATTATATCCTAATCTGTTAATGAATTATAAGATTATAATTGAATAATTATATGGTCCTTTTAATTATTTTTGTGATTTATTTTTATTTATATTTTTTGTGCACAACTTTAATATTTTAAAATGTTTGAAAAAGTAAAAATAATATAGGTGAAGATAGATATAATAATTAATTATTCATTTAATATACATTTTGTAGGGATAAAATGGGAACTCTAGCAAAAGTTGGAGGTGTAGAAATAAAGCAATGTTGTAGGAAGAATATCCCTACTTCAATATAATTTGATAAATATAAATATTCCATTTTTTTGTTTTTATTATTTCGTTAAAAAGACTTATGTAACATAAAAGTCGTTCTACATTGCATAATTTAAAAATTTTAAATAATTTAATACTTGAATATAAATTGTAAATATTTTTGTGTATTTTTATTTTGAAAATGTTAATAAAAATTCAAAAGTAAGTTTGCAACAACGATTTTATTATAAATCTCAAATCATAGTGAATCAAAGTCATGTTTTATAATTATGAAGTCAACTTATATATAAAAAGATTAAATCATAAAATCGTACTATGTAAACAGATTTCCATTTTAATAAAATATATAAATAATTTAAGTTAGGTAACGTGATTTTTTATTTGTCAAGCTGTATTTCTTCTATCAATTTTATTGAATTTGAAAAATCAAATATACCAATTTAATGTTTTTGCCAAAACAATATTATACAAGCTTGCATTTCTCACCTTATTACAGTTTAAAGTAAACAACTGGAAATTCTGTCGTAAATCATTATTTTTTTAATGAGTTTAATTGTGACCTAATTTGCAAATGAGATTTAAAAAATTAAATTTTTTAATTAATTAAATTTAATAATAGAAAAAGTGTTATAAAAATTATCTTTATCACTTATCTTTTTTAATTTAGAATTAAAAGTTTTTAATCGGGCCTTCTAGTTTTGGATAATGTGCGAATATTTCAAACAAAGGGTAAATTATTTTGTTTTGTTTTTCATTTTTTATCGATTTCCTAAAAGAAAATTATAGCGGTTTTAGTCTATCTATAAAAAAAGATTGCCGCATATTTAGAAAGAGAGTAATAATCTAAATTTTTCTCTGTAGATTTTTGCTTTTTTGTTCTCCATTTTATTCCATCATCTTGTTTCTTTCAATATGATTTTTTTTATATTGTTTTCATTGTAACGTTGATTTCAGTGTAATAATAAAAAAATATATGGACAAATATGATATTTTTTAATATATTTAAAAAATTTAAAGATAAATAATGTGATTATTCTTAATATAAAAAAATTCACCCAGTTTCAATCATTTACAAAGTGATTAGAAAAACAGATAGCTAGGTTGAACCCAATCTGGCTAATATAGCCCAGGTCCAACTATTACATGATTTCATCATATCAAAAGAAAAAGACTCAGATTTAATTAGATTTTGATTTTAAAATTCAAAAGGTACAATTTTATTCCTAATTGAATTATAAGTACAAAATGGAAATAGCAATAATAATACTATTATTATTTTTATGAACTATAACACAGTGATAATCAATTAATTATTAATTTAATACTAAAAAAACAAATTGTTTGGTTGGGAAATAAAATCGGCGAAACATTTCTTCAGGGACTAAAATCTTGAAAAATGGGTTTCTACTTTTATAGGTTTTTTTTACAGTTTTCAAAACGAAAACAACAAAAATATTTTTTACAAGAGTAGCACGTAATATTAATAGTATAAACAATAACCAATGTGATATCATGTATCATTTAACGATTAAGTTACTAAAAATGCAGACACAAAATTAAGAGAAACAAAAATTGGTTAGACAAATTTAGAAACTAAAAAACAGAATTCCATTTATATGGAAGGAGTACAAATATAATTAACTGTGAATAAATAATGACTAATTTATATCATTAAACAAAGATTTTTTTTTTCTGTTCACAATTTGTTTTCTATTTTATTCTTTAAGTAATATTATTTTAAATCAATTTTACCAAATTTATCTTTTAAATAACTTGTTTAGTTTTATCATTTTTAATTTAAAATAATGATTTATAATAAAAAATCTGCTGAATAAATAAAATCATCTACAATTAAAACACAAAATCGAATTATATATTATTTTTTTTTCATCATATAAAAAGTGAATAGATATATGCATATTTTCATTAGTATTTATAGTATTTATAAAGTGTTTCCTCAACCCCATGGTTGATTTTTCATTGCTTAAACTATGTCGGGTCAAACATATAGCCAACGCCCAAAATATTGGGTCTCATTTTAACTTTCGGAGTGATTATCCCTTCACTACCTCATCTTCTCTCTACGTCTCTTTACTTCTTTTTAAATTCTAAATTTATCCTTCTTACTTTTACTTTTATCAATTTTACCTTTCATTTTCTAAAACTCTAATCTCAATCTCATCTCACTTTCACTTTCCCTTTCACTCTCAACAGCAAGCTTCCATCCCCCACTATTACATTCTCTTTTTCTCTTAATTTTCACTTCCATTAACACAAAAATTTGACAGAAAAAGAAAAAGATAAATTGAACTAACTATTTTTTCATTTATTCAATTTTTATTTTGTACTCAACAAATATACATATTTTTCATCACACCATTGTAAGCACAGATGTAATTTTAGGCATAGATTTTCAAGTTCGGTTATTTAAAGATAAGGAAGTGGTGAATAAATTTTTAGCAGATTATATTATGGAATCATGATACTTCAAAACTCATCAGAAATAATGTTATAATTTAATTTAAAATTTAAGTATTATTTAATATAATTTTATATTTTAATAATTATTAAAATATGATTTATATTATAATAATAGTAATATTAAAAAAATAATAAAAAATAATAAAAAAAAGTATAAAATTTGATTTAATATATTTAAATATATTAAATTATATTAAAATATTAAAATAAGTTAAATAATTATTAAATTTTAAATAAAAAAAATTTAAAAATTTGTTTATCACATACCAAAATCAATTTTGTTTTCTAATTAAAATTTAATCAATATTTAATTTAATTGAAAATTATAATATTATTTTATATTTTTATAATTTAATAATTATTAAAATATGATTTATATTTTTATAATAGTTTTATTAAAATATAAAAATAAGAGTAACCATGAAAATAAAAATAATATTAAAAATCACATTTAATATATTTAAATATATTAAATTATATCAAAATATTAAATTAAATTAAATAATTATTAAAATTTAAATAAAAAACAAAATTTTAGAAATCGGATATAAAGATCCGATAAATTTATGATACGAATATGTAGAGTTGTCAAAATGAGTCACAACCCGCGAGTCAACCCGGCTTACCACGGGTTTGAGTCAGGTTGAGTTTGAAAAAATTGTATTTTTTTTATGCGGGTCAGATTTAAACCCGGCTCATGCGTGTTGAATCCGTGGTGGGCCGGGTTGGCTCACCAACCCACCTACCTAATTTTATTTTATTAAATTTTAATTTTAATTTTATAAAAAAATATTTATTATTATTTTTTGCTTGAAAAATTTATTTAAGTTATTTATTTTCAAAATTAATTAAACACCCATGTTGGGAGTTAAATTTGTTTAAATTTAAATTATAAAAAGTTTGTAATTATTTTTTATTTTAAAAAATTGTAATTAAGTGAGCCAACCCGTTTACCCACCAACCCGTGGTGGGTTGGGCCGGGTTAAGATTTTTCTGGCTCGCTAATAAATGAGCCGGGTTGAGTTGGCTCACTAAGTGACCAACCCGTGGTGAGCCGGGCCGGGTCGGGTCGGGTGACCCGTTTTGACAGCTCTACGAATATGGATATCTGATAAATAATTTTTTCAAAAATTTTGATTTTTATTTAAATTTTGATAATTATTTAATTTAATTTAATTTAATTTAATTTAATTTAATATTTTAATGTAATTTAATATATTTAAATATATTAAATGTGATTTTTAATATTATTTTTATTTTCATTATTGTTACTCTTATTTTAGTTATTATTTTTTTTTTTTTTTTAATAAAACTATTATAAAAATGTAAATCATATTTTAATAATTATTAAAATATAAAAATATAATAAATAATGTTATAATTTTAATTAAATTAAATATTGATTAAATTTTAAATAAAAACAAAACTGATTTTGATATTGATAAACAAGTTTTTGAAAATTTTTGTTTTTATTTAAAATTTAATAATTGTTTAATTATTTTAATATTTTAATATAATTTAATATATTTGAATATATTAAATCAAAATTTATATTATTATTTTTATTATTATTATTATTTTATTATTTATTTTTATTTTTTTAATATAACTATTATTATAATATAAATCATATTTTAATAATTATTAAAATATAAAATTATATTAAATAATATTTAAATTTTAAATTAAATTATAATTATTATTAAGGTGGTGTATANAATTTAATTTAA